GTATGATACTGAGTGTTGCGTGTGGGACATCCAGGGTGATCCAGAGTTCGAACAGTGAGTTGTGTGGGCGCCCAGTCGCCATAGCCAGTTGAAGAGAACTCATATCTGGTTACGATATCTTGAGTACTGTGTGGGCGCATGTCGCCAGTTGCTGTACCGCTGTTTGCAGGCATGACAAAGTGACAAGAAGACGAGTTTGATTTCAAGTTCATGCTTTGTTAGACGTTTTTTGCGGGAATCATAGGTGAGCACACATGATCCATCATAAATCGTCAATTAAAGAACTCCATATTCCAGAAGGTGTCCCTACACTTGGAGTGTGGGGAGTGAAGACTGAGTGGTATCTGCAATCTGTAAAATTGTGTAAACCTTTTGCAGCCAAATTACTCCTGAGTCGTGAATGATTACCAAATTATTACACTGAAATTCATTGTTATACTGAAATTAGTAAATTGTTGTCTTTACTGTGCACCAAGCATTGACTCTGGTGGCACAGTCGACAGCATGAGTGTAATTATTGCAATTGGTTAATGATACACACATTTAAGAATTGAACGACATCCGTTAAAATTGGAAAGATACAGTGAAGATTAGCATGGGCCCTGCGCAAGAAAAACGAAGAAGAAGGAAAAACGATACAAACATTTAACTGTCGAAACTTCTCATTGATAAACAACTTAAGAAGAGTTCAGCAAATCCCATGGCAACGATAATGTTAAAGGAGGGAAAAGTAAAATGTGACCTAAGCTTATAGAGTGTTTTTGGAAGTTGGTTGCTGAGTGATGACACAATGTCTTGTTCTGTTGCAGGGATATGTGAAAGGATGGACTCAGAGGGTAGGCACAAAAACCACATTTCGGGTTCTAAATATTATGTGGATGTCGAGGTAAAAGCGTAAACGCTAATCTTGCGAAATGTGTTTCAGGATGGAATGAATGATATGTTTGATTCTGTTCTCCCCCTCCTCCCCCCCCCCTTCCCCCCAGAGTTTGTGGTCCAGGCTACGTTCTGGGAAGCAGCAGTTCGGCTCGTTTTACACCTGCACGTAAAAAAAATTAGTGAATATCTGGGGTGCTCTCCTAGGCACCTGGGCCCTCGGGGCCTGATGGGCCGTCCGGCCGCCCAACTGGGCAGTCGAGGTCCTGGGCAACCTCAGCGTCTCCTCCCTCCCACCATCCATGTCCTTCCTCCCTTAGGCCATCTCCCTCTTCCCTCCTGCTATCTGCCTACCTCCTCCCTCAAGCCATCTCCCTCTTCCCTCGCACTATCTCCTCCCTCGTGCCATCTCCTCCTCCCTCGTGCCATCTCCTCCTCCCTTGTGCCATCTCCCTCCTCTCTCCTTCAATCGACCTCTTTCCTCCCTTGTGCCACGTCCCTTCTTCCTCCCACCACCCATTCTCTCCTCTGAAACGGTTTTCACCTTTCTGCAGTCACAGATGCGGGCACTAGAGTTCGATCCCCAAACCTTACCTTGCCCGTGTACGGTATCGAGTTGACCCCTGAGTGTTTGGACCCGTGACCTGTATTTTGGTAGTCGTTTGATGTCTGTCGTAAGTCTGTGTAGTTGTAGGGGTTCGATCCATAGATTTGGTGAGTAGGGGTCACAGCCTTGTAGAGGTCGCAGCTGTAGGTGTTCTGAGAGGTCAAGGTCGTAGCTGCTACAGTCCTGAAAGGTCAAGGTCGTAGCTGCTACAGTGTTTGAAAGGCCAAGACCACAGACTTCTGGAAGGACCGGAAGTGGCCTTTCAAAGTTGGCTCACGTTCAGACAGAGGCAAGTGGGCAAGTGGTGAGCCCAACTGCGTTACGTCGGCAGTGCGACTGCATCGAGTTGGCAGTGCAAACCCATGCAGTCAGCGGTACCGGTCCCAGTCAGTCATAGTCCAGTCAAGCAAGTACCGTGTGGGACTATGTGCACCAAGGGCATGGGAAAGGGGCAGACCAACGAGTTACAGAAGTATAAATCAAGAGGCAGCGCCCAGCCATTCATTCATTCGCTGCGTAAGCCATGCGGAAGCGCTGAGACAGCGTCTTGTGCGAGGTGGTCTGCATGTTGCCCGAAGTCGAAGTGGGCTGAAGTGGGACTACGTAGCCATAGTTAGCGTTGGTAGAGCGGCCATAGCCGCTGTAGGAGGTAGTCAGGCAATAGTGTGTGTGGGGTATTCAGGGTGATCCAGAGTTAAGTGAGTGTGAACGGTGGTGCTGGGAACAGTATCGAGGGTTGGATGTGCAGGCGTGTATGCGCCATAGCCTGTGGAAGCAAGTTTGCATCTGAACTGAGTTCTCGATTGCCAAATCTCTGAGTTCTGAGTGGGCGCTGTGCGCCAGTGTGAATCACCATCTGTTTGCATGTTTGTGAAGCAAAGAATAAAGCGAGTCTGATTGCACCTCCCCTGTGCCATCTCCCTCCTCCCTCATGCCATTTCCCTCCTCCCTCCCTCACACCATCTCCCTCCTCCTTCATGCTATCAACCCCCTCCTCTCTCCTCCCTTGCACCATCTCCCTCCTCCCTTGCACAATCTCCCTCTTCCCTCCTCCCTTGCACCATCTCCCTCCTCCCTCCCACCATCCACCCCCCTCCTCCCTTGCTTCATCCCCAGCCGCTCTCCTGCCATCTACCTCTCTCCTTGCTCTTCCCCATCTCCCTCCTCCCTCCCTCTTCCATTCCCTCCCATTGCCCGTCATCACTACCACAGCTTTCACATACACCCAAGAAATAAAAAGAGCCCGGGTTCAGGCAGATCTTGATGAAGGTGCAGCAACGCCCCACTGCCCACCCCCGAAAAAAACGTTTTCCTTGTCTGGAGTACAACGGACAGAGGGCCAGCAGTGCAGACTGCACGGATGCTCGGTCGGGAGTCTCTGGTAACCTAGATGAATACTCACCACAAACTTCTCATTACGGGCAGCAGAACCTGTGGCAGCATTGATCGATAGACTGCTGGAAATGCCCATAGAGATGTTCAGAACCATCCCCCTAAACTTACTACCCTTCCCCCCCAGAAAAACTGAAAACCAGAGCTGTCCTGTCCCTCTCAGGCCGCAAACTGGCAGTCTGTTTTTATTTTGGGGCAAGTACACCTGTGTTCCAGGTGTAGTTCAAAATGGGCAAAAAAAACACTTGTCCGCAGGTCCGTGTAGCGGGGCTTCACACATGGGCCATGTTAGTGTTGAGCAGTTTTGTCGGTTCCTTCCCAGGTACCGGCCCTTCTATTTGAATGGGGACACAGGGTCTGCACCATGCGGGCGATTCCGAAACAGGGCACATCAGACTGGATAGATAGCTTGATAAATTCATTATCGGGGTGCGTTCTGTTCGGGGCCGCGTGCACACGAAGAGAGGGAGGGGGGGGGGGGGGGGGGGGGGGGGGG